AGAGAGAGAGAGAGAGAGAGATGTTAACTGAATTATTTTATGCTAAAGGATTATATTGAAATGTAAAGTAGAAGAATATCTCATTCTATCTTGCTTCTAGTTATATATCTTTGTCTTTATTATCATCATGCTTGGCAAGTGTAGAACTCCCAGACGTGGCTGTACGTGCCGGATGTTCTTCGTTTACAAGTTTTATTAAAACGAATGGATCACGGACACGTATAAATTCTGTCAGCGAGCAACTTTCACCTCACGGGGCCGGCCCGTTTATCCTTCTGCCTCTTGCTGCTTCGTACATTCTTTATACGGATCATAAATTCGAATTTTCTGCTCTACTATCCGCGGCCCTTTACCTGCGACCTCTTCGAACAGGTCTGCATTTGTCGTCTGTCGGGGGACACATTTTGAAGGAAAGCCAACATGTGTCTTCCGGCTGTCCTTTGACCCGTCGCTTTTTTTATCTTAGGCTTACGTATGACGGGGACAACAAAATAACTATCCTTTACATCCCACTGAGTCTGATAACATGACAAACTGAGAGATGAGCCAATTAATATTCCGCCACGGAATACAAAGTGTGTATCTCTTCATTTCTGTATTCAAAATTGAACGACAAGGATAAATTACTTATAAAGTTAGGTCAGAAAGTAGCTGTGGACATTAAAATTCACTAATTGATTTGCAACATAAACTAAGTAGCAAATATATAAAAATTTTAAACAAGAATTAATTCGATAGAAGATGCAAAAGGATTGGATATTTTACGATTCATTGCTTTCTCTCTTTTGCTTACGATTATATGCGCGATTTTTTCAAACTGAACAAGTGTCAAATATTCCCCTTGTATTTCTTACGTAGCGAGAGTTCTAACAAATGTTTTGCAATTTCAGGTAACGCTTTCCATCTCGATTCTCATCAGTCTCCACGTGTTCTTCCTGCTGGTCGTAGAGATCATTCCGCCGACGTCGTTGGTTGTGCCGCTGCTTGGAAAGTACCTGATATTCGCCATGATACTCGTCTCGATAAGGTAAGTGCTCCAACACTGCTCGGCAGTGAAAAACAAAGAACATCGGAAAATTGCCTTTGCGCGGCACGCTTGCCAAATTAGCGCATTAAGGCGGGAAAATATGTCTGAAATCGCGACGCTTAATAGAAGCAATTTCTAGTAAATTCCGCATAATCGTAGGAAACATTTGCCGCTATTCCGTTTTGCACGCATTATCTTGCTTATCGTGTTAGCGCGCTATCAACGTTATCGATTAACGCTTCGGCGGTGATTTATCGGCTCGTGTTTACGACAGCAACGATTCCGTAGCAATTAATATAGCTCTGCGGAGAGTCGTAAAGAGGCGATACGATGACACTTGTGCTCGCCAGTGAAAAACAGAAACGAACACGAGAATAGAAGAGATTACAAGAATAGGAATCGCGTTTGCTCGTGCCTGCCCTCGAAATGGACGCTAATTCTCGTAACAACTGCAGAAGCGTCGTTTGCAGTCGTTCGCTCTCTGTAACGCGTTCCATTTTGCCCGATGCGAAACATTTAATGTTAAATGTAGCTATTTGTCTTGGAAATCTTCCTCCATAGAGCATTACAAATTACGATTGAAAAACTCGCGTTTAGCAATGCGACAAAAATGCGCCAAAATATATAGTTTTAAACTAAATAATATTTGCCATAATAATATTACAGTTGTACTTTTTGTACAAATCTCCACTAAAATTGAACATAAAAATAACATATTTTACAATTTTTTTTTCTTACGTATGCAAAATATAGAACCTTTATTTTTCGCGGTCTGATAATTTCAATTCTGCTGAACGTGACTCTACATCAAGCCGTCGTCTCGCCGTTATTTGCTCTCCATGCGACACGCATCTGTGCGTGTTCAATGGGTGTATCTTGAATTACTCGGAAATGTGAGCGCGATGGGGCAAGTAAGAAATAACAAACACCCACGATTTACTTTTCAACCCTCGAAGCTTAAGCTTATCCCAAGCACGTATGTGCTTCCTGACGACAGAGGCACGATCCTCGCTAATGTAGTTTCAGTAGGAAATATTGGCAAAAGTAAAAGCTTTTTGCTGAATGAAACACTATTGCGAGGAGGGAAGTGAAAAAGAAATGAAAAAAGCGTGGGGAACGTTTAAGAGCCATTGTGAAATTTTCCAAACGTGTGTAAATGTGCAGGTCACTATTTTACTGAAATAATATCTTTTTATGAGAAAATTGATCTTTTGACAAAAGTAACGGCAGCAAGGAAACAAGATACAGCTTGTAAAAGTTACTGCCACATTCAAAATTAATTCCATAATGCCCTGGCCGATGTGAGTCTTAAATTTTGAGCTCAAGATAATTGAGAACTTTATACACGATACTAATTTTAAGAGAATTAAAGTTAAATTAAATTTAAGAAGAATTAATGCTGTACGAAAATCGCGCGTTTAGATGGCGTTTGCTGGCGCCGAATAAAGTCATCGTTAGCGACTTTTCTCGTTCGTCCACCCTTTCGTTCTGGCGACGGGTACATCCTCATTTACGCTGACGACACCCTTTGCCAATCTGCTGCTAATAATCCGCCTCAGTGCTCTCTTAATTAATCTGAACTTCAACCCGTCTTTTCTCATAACAGAAAGAAAGTTTTGCGTAAGAAAATAAAAGAAATCTCACTACGCTTATAAAAACTTAATCCAGTTAAATTGTCGCGTTATACGGACAAATTACATTTACAATTTTCAGGAATGAGAAATTGCATTTGCAATATTGAAGATTAATTTTTTTTATGATATTTATATGAAAAAAAATGATCGATACAATTTCAGTTGTTTTCATGCTTTAACTGTTTTATTTAGTGTTTGTTGAAATCAACGCAAGCCATCAATTATATTTGATGTTTTTCGTCGCATTTTTGCAGTTCAAAAGAAACATAGATAAAATATGTATTTCTTAAAAATTAGTGTGATACATAAAACTTACGACCTCGGTTTTATTTTAATCTCGAGTTTAAGACTCGTATCAGCCAGAGAGTATTGTTGAGTGAATTCTAAACGTGGCAGTAGTTTCTATAAGCTATACATCCATATGCACGATTTAATTAACCAAAGAGAAACATTAATCTGTTTAGAATTACTCTATCACGGGCATAAAAATTTGAACGGCGAATTTCGATTGAAATGTAATTACATTTTTCAAAACGCTTGATGTCCTCGTATTTCTCTGCTATTTACAACGCCGATTTGCGCGTCCACGATAATAACCGCCGGCGAACGAGGTAATTAATTAATAACAAGCATGAGACTTGGTAAGTGGCGTGCATGTAATGTGGACATTGCCTGTTTACCAATTACGCTGAAAATGTGCCCTCTGTCTTCTACTCTCTCTCTCTCCCTCTGCTTTCGATACGCAATAAGCGTTTGTTGCGCAAATATTTATTTATCTATTTATTTATTTGTCAGTGATTTATTGGTGAGTAAAACTTAATAAGCAAATGCGCACCATTAACACCGTCATAATACCGTTGTGTCCAATACGAGATGTTACATTTTGTTTCGCGCTTTGTGAATATTTTAATGCAGTTTAATACAATACAATGAAATGATCTCTTTTGATCAATTACAAATTTATCACCTAATGTATATCATGTAACGAAATAATATACATATATTTCATATTTTAGCAGTATTAATATTTCTCTAGAGATTAAAAATGCAAATATCAAATGTATGTTCATAATTTGTTGGCTGAATATAATATGGACATAATACTTAATAATAAAAATTGTTACAAAATTAAAAAAAATTTTTTTAGTAGATTTTTCAAAATCTTTTATTTTAATTGCCTAATTCTCGTACATTATTAATTTATTATTAGTCTCAAAAATATACGTTCATGTGTTTAAAATTTATGATAAAATTTAAACATAAAATTTAAAAATATACTTTATATCGCATTATACGGCTTGTAGAAGCGACACAATTTTCTCGCATTTCCCTTTATTTCGTGCCGCGTTACTCGGGAAACGGGCGCCCGAAATCCGTCGAATGATGAAGATCCGGCGTGGCGATACTGCACAGACAAACAGAAGCTTTTTGTTTTCGAATCTGGGTTATCGCAGAGACGAAACACAAGCTATCTCATTGCGTCGAGTCGACTCATGTACCATAAAGAGACAGTTGTTATTTAACATCGTTGTTACAATGGACGTTACAATGTTAATTTATGATAATATATTCTAATTATAGCGATGCAATGAATTTCCAAATATTCGTAACAAAGATCAATGTATTGATTAAAAAAATTATAACTACAACGGCATTATAAACAGAAAATATCAATATTGAATCTGAAAAAATGTTACGCAAATGTTTGCGCGACAAACGAAATGTTTCCAATGTTTTCGCAACGAAAAAATTAATACAATCCAAAAAATATAAGTTGAAAATAATTAATCAAAATAAAAGGATAAACTGACGTAATATCAAATAAATAACGTTATTTTCACTTAAACAAAAATAAACTTTTTTGAAAAACTTCGATGATTCTGGGATCTATCGAATTCCCGATTAGACCGTCTGAAGTTTCTAAATCAAAAAGGTCCTGCAGAACTTTCGAAGTAGACGAAATTCCAAGTCCGTCATTCCTACCTAAAGTCACGGCATAATCGCCCACAGACTGAGCAAACATGAAACTAATCCTCGAACTTGTTCCCGACTGATAAGTCCAGTTAATGTTTGTCTTTAACGCTGACGGTGATCTGCTAGAGAGTCAATGATATTAACAATAATTGGATTTACGGACTTATTAATCGGATTTCACGAAATCGAAAAGTGGTACGGATCAACGTTTAATAATACGTTGCTAGCTTGATGTTCTCAAGCACTTATAATTATAAAAGTGACTTAAGCCGCATAACTTTTATTTTGAAATAATTCAATTATTTGCTTTTGCATATGTTCTTGTATGACAAATGTTCGTTTATGAAAATATCTTTACAATATTTTATTGCATTAATTTTTTTTATATTAAAACTCTGCATCTGTCATATGATTTCATTATACTTATATTTATTTTTAACAGCATATTAATATAAAATCTCAAAAATTTCAAAAATTGACGTCATAGAAAGAGAAAAGAAAAGCGAAAACATTACACTGACTTATCGTTGCAGATGTCAGTATGCCTTGCATAGTTCGTTTTTCATCATTTTGCTCCTGTTCCTTTGGCCTGAAAAAGTAGAGCCGAGGACACATTATGTGTCGCGTAAAAATGACGAGGTGGATAGACCAAATCGTTAGTCAAATATCACCGGCAAGTGTCTTGCATGGTTTATCCAGAAAGAATAATGGCAAAATTTTACCCAATTTATACGATGTGAAATAAATTACGTAATTAATCACTTTTATGAATATTATGGCCACTATAAGATATATATTAATTATCATAAATTTTACTAACAAGCCAATTTATTTATTTCGCCATTTTTGCGCGATGTGATGTGCTGTCAGCTTGGCTTTTCCAGATCAATCAAAAGGGACGGAATTGAAAAACAATTATTTCTTTTTGCAAGGAAAGAGTAATTTATAAAAATATACTTATATGTGTTACAATTTATGATGCAATAAAAATTGAAAATAAATAAAATGTGCCTTATTATTTCACAGTAATCATATTATTTCTAAAAATTTGGTTAGTCAGCCGGTCATCGACATTTCGGCGCATTAATTTCAGAAGTGTGTCTATTCACACCCTTTTGAAAGTGCCTTGAGCGACTAGCCCGCGCGCGCGCGCAAAGCCCTTTTCAAAGGGACCTCGTTTCAATATTAATGGCGGCATTTGCTGGCTTCGTACCGGCGACATTTAACTAACGAGCCGGTCTATCCACCTCCGCCATTTTTACGCGGCACCATGGCACGATATGTTCCCGGCTGTGCCTCTCCGAACTAACCAGGCCAAAGGGACAGGATTAAAGAGCAAAATGATGAAAAATGAGCTATACTTACTCTATTGTAGCAATAAGTCAGTGTAAT